TGTATCCTGGGAACGAATTTGCCTGTAACCCAACAGCAAACTCAGTAAAACTGAGTGGGGGCAAATAACGTTCTAAAGACAGTGTCTTCAGACGTGCCTCGGAGCTTCTCCTCCAAAGTTACAGTGACCCCATCTTTCACAACAGTTTCTAGCATTTCAAGTTGGGTCCCACATGGAATCTTTCGAAGCTCAGTTTGGCAAAAATCTGGAAATCCAACATGCATTCTAAACAATCTGAATAACTCATCCAAAACATAAGTTCTCATCCAAAGCAGCTCAATTAACGGAGCTTGTCCCAAATGGGGCCTTGGTTGAATGTTTAGCTTGGTAATAGAAGATGTGCAAACGAAGTCACTTGCTCCATCATTGGGTTTCTATTCTAATTGATCTTTCAAGCCAAACTAAACATGTATATAGGATTCTTTTACCTTCAAACTAATGCCTAATGGTCTAGTTAGGTTTATAAGCTTATTTCTAGATTTGGTTTACAGATCAATTCTCGATTCTCTATCTTGCCCTTCTAAAGGTGGGATGGAGACCATTTGATTTCTATGCAATTTGATCAAATGGTAAAAATTGATACATCCAAGATACAAAGTGCACAATTGATGCAATACATACATGAGAGTCTTTGCTTGAAGCAAATGCAGGATTCTCAAGTTGAGTCCAAACATACGTAAGCAAATGCAGGATTCTCAAGTGCACTTCTATTGAACGGTATAAACCAACCAATGGAGGAAATAGAAAACCCTTAAGAGGGCGTTTGTTTTCTGGTAATTGGGGACGGATAAATTGGTGGATCCCATGGAAAAGAAAGAAACTTGTGTTTGTGTTTTGGTATTAATGGGTCCTAGAAAAAAGAATCCCAAGTAGTTCATTTACCTAATAAGTAATACATGGCGGGACAATATTGTCCTTCAAATTATGACCCTTTTTATGAATAAAACAGTCATTGTATAACTTTACATTGAAAATAAAAAACAATATCAAATAAGTGTTTCCCATGCAACATTTACCCAAATAAATGTATTTACCTAAATAAATGAGTACTTACAAAAAAAAAAATGAACGAGGCCATGGCGTAACCCAAATTAACTCGTACATTAAAGCTCAAAATCTTTTTGAGATTAACAATGCTCTCACTTCACATTGATACACCTACAAGGGCAATAAAATTCTCTACAAGCAAAAACTTTGCAAACAATATGAAAGCATGCAAATCCAGATACACATTTTCACTACGAATTCAACGTACATGTTTCAAGAGATAAGAGTTTTTGCTTGCAGGCGATACCAAAATACCATAGAAGTGAAAAAAAAAGGATCATTTACTTAGACACTCCTATAATTTTATGTATTCACTAAATCCTACCTTTTAGTTAGCCTTTTACTAAAGCACACCCTATAGTATGCAACCGCTTTACTTAATCAACCTTCTCTCAAAAAACCATTTATGTTCCTATTTGGAATGGTCACATGACCTATTAAAACGAGTTGGAAATGTGAAATGGTATGGGCCCATGTTTTTATTCTAAAAATGTCCCTCAATAGTTCTCATATGTCATATCACATGCACTACACATCAAAGTTATAATTGGAAGGGAGGTTTAGTTTGAAATAAAAAACTCTTGGCCCATGACATTTCACATTTTCTACATATTTTAAGCCTAGATAAAAATACAAAAGAATTCTAACGGAAGGTTGATTAAGTAAAGCATTTGCAAACCACTGGGGGTGTTTTAGTAAAATGTAAATTAGAGGATAGGTTTTAGTAAAGCAAACTAAATTAAGGATAGGGTGTGTAAGTAAATGAACCAAAAAAGCTAGTTTTCTTTTCATAAAAAAAAAGTAAAAAGGGAAAAAATCAAGTCAAGTAGCAGACTTAATTCCTAAGGCTGTTTTTAGTTGCAATGTAATTTTATTTGCACTAATATAAATGTATGGGAGTGCAAATGAAGAAAATGCAAATACCCATTTAATTCAGTTTTAAATTTTACTTTATTCTACTTCATGTCTTAATTTACTTCATTTTTATTACAATTAAATAAAATAAGCTAACATTTGAAACAAAAATAGGTCAGAATTTACAATCAAACAATTTGCATTGCCATAGTTTTGCATCAGTGCAAATTTATTTGCATTGCAACCAATATAGCCTAAGGCTGTGTTTGAAAACAATACAAATAAGTGTGAATGCAAATATGTAGAGTGTAAAATGGTTCATATAAATTGCAAAGTTTGGTTAGTTTTGCATTGACAAATTTACCTTCTAACCAAACAGACTTTTAGTTGTAATGAATGCAAACATGAATTTCAATAAAGCATATGCTTTTTTTTTATCAAAAGCCCACTTGAATGCAAATTTACTTTTTTTTTATTAATGTACTTTTACATCTTATTATCAATGTAAAAATGCATTGGTCTTTCATTTGTAGTGCATAAATATGATGTTGCCAAAAACAGACAAAAGTGAACCATAATGCAAATTTACCCTCAACTGGGATTTACACTTTATTTGCATTATTTCCAAATGCAGCCTAAAGTTCAAAACTCTTAGGCTATGGTGAGAGAGAGAGTGAGAGAGAGAGAGAAAGAGGAGGAGGCATTGATGCTAGATGTTAAACGTTTGTATTCTACAAGGGCTAGAGAGAGATTGCTTAAAAATTCCAAAAAGTCATACCATAGATCGACAGATCAAAAGTAGTGCATGGGCTACTTTTGATTTTGCATCGTAGAGAAAAAAATGAATGTAGAAATACTTTTCAAAGCAGAGTGAAACAACAATGTAATAGGTTTTCAAAAAAAAAAAACGAGAAGAAAAAGAAAAACACCACTAAATTCTTAAAGTTCCTCTTAAACTTTCACATCTAAATAAATTCAATAGTAGATCAAGAGGTCATTTGTACATTATCCTTAAATGAATTTTATCATTCACCCTAAAATATATCCTCTATAATTGTTAAATAATGCTATAATCTAAAAGTTTAAGTTGTTAGATAAGGTCATTGAAGGCTTGAAACGTAAAGGATCTCATATTAAAATTTAATTAATTATAATTGGGGCGATGAAAAATAAAAACTAAACTAATTGATCAAATAATGTCTAATACATGTCAAAGAACCATTCAACCTAAAAATTTAAACTATTAAATAAGCACTTGAATGGGTTTTTTTTTTCCTCTAACAATAATGTAATATGACATATACATCTTTCCGAGATATTAAACTGAAAAATATTAAAGGGTCTTATTCAAAAAAAATTAAAAGTAAAAATATAAAATATATATAACAATTTCACTGCATTCAGAAAAGCAGAAAGTTATTTTTGATGGTTCAAAATTTAAAATTTAAAACCATTCTTATAACTTTTCCAAATATACCAAAGTTTGGATTTATCAAAGGTCACTTAAAGATGAAAACAAGAACAATAATGCATGAATCAAAATTCTTAGAGCTACCCCAGGATTGTGTATTTGCTATCAAAAAATCTTATGTAAAACTCGAGTTTAACAACACAAAGATACAAACAAATACAGTGGAGAATAAAAGAAATAAAGAATCACAATCATGCATCCTTTAACTTTTAACCCTTTTCTTAGTATTTTTTTCCATTCAAATATTCAATCTTGCTGATCAAACTTGAAAGCCAGATGGTTCAGTTCTGCTGCCATGCAGGCCATCTGCTCATCATGCAATCATCTGACCTTCTGCCATGCAGTGCAGACCACACTCTCCGTGCAATCATCCAATTCGTAGGCACGCCACAGCCTTCCACCAATAAAGTTCTTCATGTGACTTTGAGACAAGCATCTTTTATCGTACTCAGGACTCAATTCTTAATTAATTAATTAATCAAACTACGGGTTAGAATTGCCTTTTGGAGCTTGTATTTCGGGTTTTGGCAGTCTGCTGCTGCCTTGTTGGCCGTGTAAAGCGAATTCCCACGGTATTTGTCGGTGCGGTCGGATTCTACATCGGATCCGGGTCGGCCCGGAGCCGATCCAATTAACTTATAGAACTATGGCTGTTTATTGAAAAATAATGCAAGTCATTGCCATATAGGCGCTGCATTGATCCGGTAATTTAACATGATTTATAAATATATCAATTTCAAATTGTTACCTTTTTAATTTCAATGTGAATTATGTATAATGGGAAAAGTCTCAAATATTAAATCATTTTATACATACTTAGATAAAATATTATTATAATAGGATTACATTGAATGATCATCACTTTATAATATCAATTGATTGAGTACAAGTTAACCAATCAAGTTAACACTGAATAACCACAGATTTTGAAAAAAGGGAAGATTATTAATGCATGGCACTAATTAAAAAAAAAGAAGATTGGGTACAAGTTTTCCGGTATCATGTTGAAATGGTAACGGATCGGGCTCCAATCATGAAACTCGATTGATACTGACCCGACCCAAACTCGATCATGTCGGATCAGTGCTGGTTTACTACTTAAGCTCATAAGCTGACCCACTGACATGCCTTGCAGTTCGGGCACATGGGCATCAGGGCATGCATAGTTCATAGCATGGATTTTAGAAATGAATCGGTGATCGAACCGGTCAGGGTCCGGTTACCGGTTCGAACGGTCATATCGTTCGATCCGAACGGCCGGCCGATTCTAACAAAAAAATTAAAAAAATAAAAAGCGGTTTTGGAGGTATACGGATGACCGGTTCTCGGGTTTTCCGGTTCGACCGTCCGATCCGGTCCGATTTTAAAAATAGTGGTTTATAATAAAATTACAAAATAATCCTTTTAATGAAAATAAAAAAACAAAAAAAACGAGGGTAATATTGTCATTTAAAGATTTAAAAATCGGCTTGTCAGCTTTTTCTAATTAAGTCTAGAGTGCTTTGCTGTCTGCCTTTGGTCTCTTTTCCACCGATAAAACCAAGAAAGTATAGCCACGTGGCTTACCGGTCCAACGGCTATTCTGCTTCCTTTCCCAAGTTAAATAGAGAGACCAGGCTCTCCTCGTCCTCGGATTATTCTCACTCTTCAGTCGTCTCTTCTGGACTTCTGTCTCTCTAGTTTCAAGCTCTTCTGCTTCTGATTCTGATGTCAATGGAGTCTTCATCGACTGTTCTTTCGTCGTCATTAGCGGTCTTATTCCTTCTCTTCAGCTTTACACAAGCCAGAGAATTCATGGTTGGAGGCAACGCTAATTCATGGAAGATACCATCCAGTGGAAATGGATCTTTAAACCAATGGGCAGAAGCAAATCGTTTCCGAATCGGCGACTCTCTTGGTGATTTTTCTCATTATCTCAAATCACAACTTCTGGGTTTTCTTTTTCAGTTTCTTTCGTCATCTGGGTTTTGATTCCTTCTCCTGCTTCACTAACTCTCTCCCTCCTTTGCATGTCTTCTCTTCTCAATAACAGTTTGGAACTACGACTCCCAGAAGGACTCGGTGCTGCAAGTGACCAAAGACGCTTACGAGCACTGCAACACGTCGGACCCGATCGCTGCATTTAAGGACGGAAGCACCAAGGTTGCGCTCCATCGGTCGGGGCCGTTCTACTTCATAAGCGGAGCTGAAGGACACTGCCAGAAGGGACAGAAGTTGATCGTCGTGGTGCTGTCGCCAAGAAATGGGGCCATTGTGTTTGCTCCGGCTCCGGCTCCGGTGGCACTTGAGGGTCCGGCGGTGGCCCCCACTAGCGGTGGACATAGTTTGAGGAATGGTTTCGTGGGTGCTTTTGCAGTGTTGGGGTGTTTGTTTGCGATCGTTTTGCTCTGAGCAACAAAAGTTGAAAATGTATTAACAATTCTGTGTGTTTCTGTGGACGATCTCTCTGTGACTGAGAAATCATCATTGATACAACGAAATGAAGGATTCAAATCTACTTTCGTTTAAATTAACTCATTAAGCAATCAAAATCCAGTTACACGAGAGCAATCCTTTGTCTGCTGTTCACACTTGGTGGTGGTCAACTGTCACCTCGGAATTGGGATTTTCTGACAGCAGATCACATTTTAACTCCCTACCAACTTGATCTAATATCGCACCCCTCCGAGTTCAAATCAGCCCCCCACAGCACATCGCCGCCGTGTCCCAGTACACGATTGCTGATAAATACGTCAACTGTCACCTCGGAATTGGGATGTGCTGTGAGACGTTGTGGGGAGCGGTGAGTTTTGTTGACAGGTGATGAGTAGAACTGTGGATTGCTGATAAATACGTCATTTGAGAGGTCAGAATCATCACACTTGCCATGAAAAGAGGAGCACCAGTTTCTAGGTCCGTCTCAGTTGGCTCTTCTCCTTTGTCGATGAGGACAAATTGAGCGTACATCTAAAGCATCACAGCCTCTATGGAGTTTCACGTGTTAAACAGACAGTCTTGAGAACAACGTGTAGGATTAGTTCCAGAATTCATATCCACCTAAAATTAACTGGCTCGAAAGGACAATTTGATTTCATTTTTAGTGTCTTCACTATTGCAACGATCGATCGAAACATCAAATCAGCTGTATATTTTTAGGGTTTTTATTGTTCAGTCCATTCCAATAAATCTTAACTTCACCTTACAGTTGGGGGGTAGATGTTAACTCGGTATTGATGCACGTTATAGGTGGAGGTGAATTCTGAGGTGGAATGCAGTGTAGTTATCCTTAAATTATTTTTTGCATACAAATCAAGTTGACAACTGCAACGAGGCCCTACAAGTCGCAACTATTTTCTTGTCAACATGAATAGAATACATCTCAAGCAACCATGACCATGAGTGTGGCAATGGCATTAAAGTGCCACCACCTCCTCAATTTGATTCTGATTCCAGTACTCCTTAAAGGCAGGGCTGTAGCTCTTACTGCTCCTCACTTCGCAGTACAAACCCGTTGACATTTGCAGAATTGCAGTTATCTAATTTGCAATTATCAGGCAACGAATGACAGCTATCTCAAACGAGGACCAATTTGAGTGGTGAACAATAAGGAAAATTGCTCCACAAAAGAAATATAGGAAACTGAAAACCATTGATCTCTGTTGTGTGCAAAATCAAATAATGGTTTGCAAAGGGATCCGTTTTTCATTGGTGATTACTGTGTGCCTCCACGTTAAGATGGGGAGAGAGCAAGGTTTTTAAAATCGACCCGGAGAACGAACCAGTCAGGGGTCTAATTCACAGGTCAAATGGTCCGGTCGTTCAAATTAAGTGGTCGGCCCATTCTAGAAAATAAATAAAATAAATAAATAACAGTCAAAACCATTCGAACGGTTAACCACCCGAATCAGCAGTTTGATGACCAAAATCAATGGTTTTAGAAAAAGAATGGACCGATTCCCGATTTTTCCAATCCAACCATCCAGTCCGGTTTTAAAAACCATGAGAGAGAGAGAGAGAGAGAGAGAAAGAGATTCTTTTGGTATATGAGAGATATAGAAATTAAAAATGGGAAAGAGCAATCTAATTCTGGCTAGAAAGTACTACCCATCCCTCTTCATGTTTTTATCATGTAAATCTTAAGTGAATAAAATTCAATCACAATGTACAAGAAGGCAAAGGCAATAGCTAAAAGTTGAGCTGCTGCCGTGAAGAAATGAAGAAAATTTTTGTGATTTTCTTCTGACGTTCCTACCGGATCAATGCATCAGGGAATTTGTTCTTTTCAATCGATTCCCAAATACAAACTGGAGCTTTTTATAATTCTTAGGAACAGCTGCAGCGTCGTATGGGAATTTCCAGCATAGTGCATACTACCAAGTACCAGCCTAACTCCAATCAAGCAGCTTTAGGTTCAAGACTTCAAGTTATTTCTCAGAAATTACGACGACAGCTAACTTGACGAAAATTTAATAACCATGAAAATGTCATTACCAAAACTCGAAAATGGTACTCTCTCCCCTCCACTTCATTTTCTACGAATTTTAACGTTGAGGGTCCATAGAACCTTTCCCTCGGGCAGGGGAATTGACCTTGGAAAACGAAGTGGCACCTCAAACTCTCCCAAGGAAGATAGTGGAGATGGAAGATGCAGGTTCTCAGGCTGGACGCTTACACAAAGTTGCCTTGCCACCTGATGCATCAGAAAATAGTAAACAGTTAATATGTTTTAAATAATACAGCACCAAGATGCATACCCTCAATACACAACAATGCCTAATGGTGTGTTTTATTTACCTGGGTAAGTGCATTTACCATGTCTTATATTTCCCAGGTAAATAAGACAAAGATGGTTTTAGCCATACAAAGTCATTAATTAAAGGGGCAATTTTGTCACATCCTTTGGCAACTTTCCTACCAGGTAGATAAGTTACAAATGGTTATCACTTAACCCAGGTTAGTGATATCGAAGGAAAATAATTTTAGTCAACCCCACATAAACCTGGAAAAAAAATAAAAAGAACACGAATACCTTGGTCATGGAACCAAAATTCCATTGACCAACTTTTTCCCCTCTCAAAATCCCAAAAAAAAAAAAAAAACAGTCGCTTTGAGTTTGGAGGTTGAAGGTTACCATCCGTCTGATTTAAAGAGGCAATGATAGTAGCTCTCAGATGATGCTACCCAGGAGGTACCACGGCACCATCTTGTTCACCATGCACAAGATCACCCATATTCATTGTCCTAGTTATCAGGAGTTGACCTAGTTCCGCGTATCAATGGCAAAACCAATGAATAGTTCAATAACAACCTGCTAAATCCATTCATGACTAGAATGCTTTGTTCTTCTAGTCCAAGTTGACTCCATGACTTGCATCAACTCCACTCCCAACCTCGTGACCTCGAACAGGTCTTGAACCGACCCTACCCGATCTGTTATGGGGTAGGGTCTGGTTCCAAATTCTTGGAACCGACCCCAACCCAGTTTGGTTCCAGGGTCGAAGGATTAACCCTACCCAAACCGACCCGATGAAGCGGCCCTGGTTGGCCTTTGGTGAAACCAGCCTTGGAACCGAATTTGCCTTGAAATAAACCTCAAAATATTTTTAAGGATGTGAAGATTTGAACCCAATCACACATGGTTACAAAAGCCATGGTCTCACTTGACAATTGAATTACTTAAGTGATTTGATCATTTGTTTTTATTCTAATTGAATGTGTATAATAAATATTGTGCAAAGTAATATTTACAAAACTTAAATTATAATGACAAATCTTTAACCATATATTAATGTATTATGTTAATCTCCATATTAAATTACTCAATTTAACCGATGATCAAAAAAAATTACTCAATTTAACCAATAAAGATGATATAAGTTTTAAACTACATACTATCATTATTGAAAATTAAGTTTTTAAAGGGTATGCTTCATTTTTTTTACGGGGGAGAGTACAGAAAGAACAGGTTCCACGGGTAGACCCTGTAACCGACCTCGGAACAGCCAAAGTCAGAATCGACCTTCACAGGGTAGGTTCCAGTTCCAAAAACCTGGAACTGACCGCTGCAGGGTAGGTTCCAGGTTCTGCCATGGAACCGAACCGAATCGGCCCATGCTCACCCTTAAGTAACACCATGTTTTCTCAATAAATTGACTCCCACAATCACAAAATATAATTCCATAACAATTAGTACAATCTAAAGATAATCGGTGTTGTCAAAATTAGTCATTGACTAATCAAAAATAGATAGTTGCGGGCCAGGTCAACTACATTACTAACTAATACTCAAGGTGCAGTGGCCTAAGATGGCTAAAGCATCGACTAGATCAATTAATTGGTTAATGACTAGTCAACCAGAAAATCATTTGTTTGTTTGTATCTCTAATTATTTGAAATAATGTAGAATATGTCCGCATTCTATTATACGCATGCCATTGCTTTAAAAATTTGTGATAGAACATGATCGGATGATGGTATATAAAATAAGAAAAAGGCATAAAATTAAACAAAGGCAGTGGAGTTCTTTTAAAGTTTTTTCCCCAATCAGTGGTGTACTGGTATTCTTGAGTACTGATACTCGGTACAGAGTTGCCACAGAGCAAAACGAATGATCAAAGTTGCTACTTTTCTTCAGAAATTTTCTGTCTGAAAAATAAAGACTACCAAGTACATGTTCTAGAGCATTCTTTTTTTTTTTGCATAATTGTAGTTTATATTAACTTATATATGAGATTGCATCAAAATCCTAAATATAGAATATATCTTTTTCATCAACTAATTAGGCACAAACTAGTCAGCACATTGACTAGAGAGGCCTAAAACTAGTCATCACTTCACCACATTGATAACACTCAAAATACTAAATCAAAGATAGATGCGGAAAACATTTAAATCATTATTAATTTATTTAATATCTTCAGAGAAAGGAAAATAGGAAATCAAATATATGTTTATAATCCAAGTTTATATGCATGCATACATCATTTTTTTATGAATACATGCATACATCATTTCTTTCTTGTGTTTTAAATTGTCTATATCTAACTATGATGCAAGTAAGAAATAGGACTCAGAAAATGAATTTAAAGGATTACCCACTTAACTTGAAAACATGTCAAGTGAATGGAAAAAAAGGCAACCAAAGGAGGAGTCACTGGAATCACTCAAATGAATCATCATGCACAATTACAGGTATCAACATGATTTGATCCCCATGATAGGGAGTGGAGTCAAATCGGTAGAGTTAAGGGATTATTCATTCAGAAGTCATCAAACTAAGTCTAATTGGTAAGTTGGATTCTCCTAGCTTAAAAGCTTAACCTGTCATATTTTGTCAAAGCAATCACGTTTACTTACAATATCATTGTTGAGGTTAGTAATGCAAGAAAATGGGAAACACATTTTCCAATTCAATTTGTTCTCAAACTGCACGTGGAAACTTCATAAATCATGACTTTCTTGCAAATTATTGAACAACTGGAACAACACAACAAAAAAGCAAATACCATATCCATACAGCTAGTTAATTTATTATAGGGATGTAAATACCATATCCATACAGCTAGTTAAATTGAATTCAGGTTGTTGAATGTCAATCTCTCACTGGTTTGGCTTATATTGCATGCCAGTCAATATTTCTGAGCCATGAGAAATTAAAATGCTTTTACATAGATATCAAGTATTTTAATTTTTCTTTCTTTCCTTTTTTTTTTATTTTCACCAGGCAGGGTGAGTTTGGTGCAGGGTATAATCAAGTAGGGTTGGGTTCAGGTTGACTTGAACCTGTACTAAACTCAAACCTATTGACAGCCTTAATTAATTACCAGAAACTACTAAACCAGATTCCAGGATGATGTGTGCTAATTAAAAAAAAAGGCCCATTCGCTTGAATCGAAGAGAGCAACACAATGAAACAAGAAAAACAAAACCATCATACCTCAGAAACAAGCTCATCTTTTGTCACAGGTGAACGCAATTCATTACCAACCTTGATGAGCCTCCTCAAGGACTGCAATAAATTTAAACTTGTCAGATTATAGGTCTGGAACAAGGTGGCATAGCTTTTTCTTTACATTACATCAAGTTTTCCGCTAATTATTATTTGTCAATCTTTCCATTATATAAATATCAGGGTTCCTCGCAAATTACACAATGGCTATGATTTCTATTTTTTTGGTTTTCAAATTTAGATTCACCATCCAAAATGTCTGTTTATCAGTGGATACAGAATCACACATATCCACATCACAACATAATAATAAAATGTGCTTTCCTTAACAACCATAATAATAGGAACACTTTTGGAGGAATAGGAATACACAACATTTCCTTCACAAAAAAGATGAAAAAGAGGGATTGGCCACTAAGAAATTAAAGAATGATATACAAGAGAACCTACCATCGGAATTAGGAAACCACAAATGACCATGCCCTATAAAATCATCAAAGGTGACCCCATCCAACAAGTTCAAAAGGTTAGGCATAAATGTGATTTCAGAATCTCTAAGATTCCTCCTAGATCCCAAGTTCCAATTCAGCCCAAAGGATGAAGAAGGATGAAAAAAGTCATGCACAGGTCTCCAAGGAAACAAGTCTTTCAAGGGATACCTGATATGATTGAAAAACGAGGATATGATTAAAAACAAGTCACATCACATCACAACTTGTTTCTATCAAGAAGCATATTTGTTATGCAAGATGGCTGGTGCTGTTCACAGTCGGTCAGTATTCTGAAGTAGTTTCAGCAAGAAAAACAAAAGAAAAATAAGAGATAACCAGAAGAAAGAAGAGAGGAAGAGAAGAGAAGAGAAAGGGAGCAGATCAAAATCTGTTTCTGCCGCCCAGATTTAGTATTTATATGTTTCTATTATAACAAGATCTACAATGACATTTATGCCCCTGCCACTCAAAACAC